GACTCACCACATTGCCTTGTACTGTCTTTGATCTGGAACATCTCTCATCTTTCCTCTTGACTGTGAGATTCTGTCCTGAGGGGACCACATTATATCCCTTGTAGTACCTGATATGTAGTTGACACCCAACACACATTTATTTTAATATTTATAATCATAATATTTAATGTTTTTGTTATATTCTTCAATGAAATGTCTCCAAATGTTTTGAGTTTATGAATAATATACTTTAGGCCTCAAAGATTCAGCTACAGTAAATGTTTTCCTGTGGAGGAAATACAAGAGTTTGCTATGAAAATAAAAGTCCCTGTACTAAGATATTTCACTCTGGATGTAAAGATACTTGGCTATTTGTTAGGCTGCTTATTTAACCTATTATTTTAAAGAAGAAAAAAATAAGCACAAACAATACACTTGTGCAACAGTGATATAAAAAAATACACTTTCAAAACTAGAGAAAGATTGGGTGATTCATTTAACTTTCTTTTGACACCAATTTCTACACCCAGTGAAATTTATGCTAGCTTAAAGAATGAAAAAAATGCTGGGCACAGTGGCTCATGCCTGTAATCCCAGCACTTCGGGAGGTCGAGGCAGGTGGATCATTTGAGGCCAGGTGTTCGAGACCAGCCTGGCCAACATGGTGAAACCCCATCTCTACTGAAAATACAAAAATTAGCCCAGTGTGGTGGCTCGCACTTGTAATCCCAGCTACTCAGGAGGCTGAGGCATGAGAATTGCCTGAACTCGGGAGGTGGAGGTTACAGTGAGCCAAGATAGCACCACGACACACCAGCCTGGGTGACAGAGCAAGATTCTGTATCAAAAAAAAAAAAAAAGAAAGAAAAAAAAACACAAAAAAAAATTTTTTTTTTTTTTTTTTTTTTAAAAAAAAAAAAGGAGAAGAGAAAATTATGCTAGGTTTGAAAATCTCACCTGTGGAAATTTGACCCAGATCTTGTCTTTCGGTAGGACTATATAATGATTCCAACTGTAGACTAACAAGAGTCATGGAATTTTTATATAAATGCTGCCTGAATTTCACAACCTTCCACTTTTTGAGGTGCTGCCATAACAAAGTTAGGCACAAAAGGGGTGTTTTGCAGACAATTTGTGGAAGTATTGACCGAGCTGCAGAGGTATCCTTCTCATTTCTGCATGCCTTAATCCAGGCCCATTTCTTACATTGCTTAGTGCTCAGTGTGTTGTTACAAAGAGCATGAGCTCAGAACCCAACTGGGAAGACTCTACCAGCTGAAGAAATGCCTCTGAAGTTAACCAGAAAATTTTCTCCTCTCTCAGGTCTTTTCTCCTTACTTCCCATAGAACTGTTCTTAGGGAAGGTTGACATAACCACATGGCTAAAATCCCAAGGGATTTAATATTCCTATACTTTAACTGTATGTTTTCTAAATAAAAACTTAGAGTAGACTTTCCCCCTCAGTTTTTCAAAAATCACTGAATTCTCCAAAGTAGAAGCTGTGCAATTCATATCCTTACCAGGGAGTGTTTCCAAACCATTCTCTTGCAGGCAGTGTTGACAGTAAGGAAGATTGGAACCTGTCCCAGTAAAAAGAAGCTGAGAAGCTTAGAGAAAGTCCCTCAATCCAGCATTTTAAAAACAGAAGTGGAAACAGTTTTATAAAGGCATTGCCACCCCCACCATTGCACACAAGCTTTGTTTGTTGTTGTCAGTAACATTATAAGCACTCCATCTTTGGGTCTTGGTTAATGCTACTACTCCAGGTTCCAGGATCACCCAAGAAAGTTCCTCCCAAATTGGGAGCTGTAACCATCTGTTGATACTCAAGGCTCGCCGAACAGCTATCACTCTAAAGGGGCCTCTTATCTTTTTTTCAGCAGGATAGAAGCAGACATCCACTGCCTTTGGAAAAACATGGGGAGGTGGAGGGATGGATCTACAGTAGCAACTGCAGCAATGAAGACAGGTCAGTTTTACACGCTAGAAACAGAAATGCCCCCAGAAGGTTCAGGATATAACTAGAAAACTTGATTGCATCTACCTTAGTTTGTACAAGTGGTGCGTCTTGGAAAATACATTTCCTGAATAGTTTAGATCAAAATGGAGCTGACACTCAGGATCTCGTGTAATAGTGACCCACATGCTTTTCATACATAGTGCACATGGATTTGTCCATAGCCCACATTCTGTTTTCTTGCTATAATGTATTCTTTGGATATGGTCATGGTGGGTGATAGGAAATATTCTGAGCCAAGGCAAGATGTTTTTCTTAACAGAAGGTGGTTGTACTGCTAAGGAAAAATGTTCATGCAAGTGATCACCAATCTGGAGAGTCCCCCCAAGTCCCAGGTAATCAGGTAGCTACAAGTGTGAAGAGAGGACACATTACCAACCCAGAGTTTGAACATTTAATTAAGCTCAGTAAGATTTAGCATTTCTGTGAAAGGAACTACAGTAGAACTTCAACCCTGCTTCTTTATACTAGATAAAGGACCCATCTTCTTAACCTATTGGATTTCATTATTTGCATAACATTTTACTGACCCAGTGTGCCAATAAACTCGCTGTTTGGTTGGCATATCAGGAATTAGTCAAATGTGTTGTCTGATCGAATTTATCAAAGACTTTGAGTGTCAGTCCTACATCAGTATGGCTTTTGACCTGGTTATGTTGCATTCTTGCCTCTTGATAAGAATGTATTCATCAGACATATTTGATCGGTGTGCCAACAAGGGGTAGAAATTAGTTAAGGACAGCGTCAAGAGACAATGGAAAGACAAGGTGGGAAGCACACTATATTTTCCAAAGCTTTACATTGGAAAGCTTAAATATTAAGAGATATTAAATATATATTAAATAGATTTTATGATTAAAAATAAAGTGTTTTTTTTTGGTTTCTTTAATCTAATCATTTTGGCAAATTCAGATACTTCTCACTTAATATTTGAATATATAAATCAAATTTCTTCCATGTTTTCTCCCCTCTGAATCTTTCTCTCTTTAGCTTACCAGTTGAAAGATATGCCAGTCCTATATTTAAATAAACAATTACATTAGCGATATGTGTGCAATCATCTTTAAGATTAAGAGCAAATTAACATTGGCTTGTCAGTCTCTCTTTAAAGCTGTTTTCCATCTCAAAGGTCATGATCTAAGGTAAGGTCCAGAAACAACTGAGATTGTTTTACATCTATGTATTAGGTTGGAACAAAAGTAATTGTGGTTTGTGCCCTTACTTTTAATGGTAAACACCGCAATTACTTTTTCAGCAACCTAATAATTACAATTCTAAGTAATGGAAATACATATCTTTTATAGGTTTCAATGGGCAATGCATTAGCATAATGTAAATATTTGTATTTCATACTGACTTTGAATATTCCTTGTCAAAAGTGCACTTATACTTTTAAGTTATTATGTGTGTTTACATTATTGTTTTGTCAGAAGGCTGGAGTTATCATAGCAGAGCTTTTATGATAAAATATTATGAGCCTTGTAAATAGTTTCAAAAATTATCCACTAATGTCTATTTGTCTTGCAAAATTTGCAATTTTACTAGTAGTTTTCATCACTTGCTCTTTCTACCTCTAATGTTTCTCAGTGTCCTCCATTAGATCTTACTGACTCATCACATATAAACAGCTTCCTCAGAAAGAGTCCAATAAAAATTAAAGACCAAGAGGTAGAGTCTATTGGAGCCATCATGAATTCCAGTCCTTTATGTTGTTATCGATTTATCTTTTTTTTTTTAAAGGCACACCCTTGACTTTTTTTATTGTTAAAATAACCAGATTCTAATTTCAGGCAGCAAAATCAATTACTGCAAAAAGTCAGTAATCAAAAATCAATGTATAATTGGTTTTCATCACCTATAGAATTAGTTAGATTTATACCCCTCAAGTGTTTAGTGATTCTATTCAGTCAACCTAAAAAAATTGCCTCTTTTCTACTTAAAAATATTATTTATTTATTTTTTTTGAGACAGAGTTTTGGTATGTCGCCCAGGCCGGAGTGCAGTGGCACAATCTCAGCTCATTGCAACCTCTGCCTCCCGGGTCAAGCAATTGATTCTCATGCCTCAGTCTCCCAAATAGCTGGGATTATAGGTGTCCACCACCATGCTCAGCTAATTTTTGTATTTTTAGTAGAGATGGTGTTTCACCATGTTGGCCAGGCTGGTCTTGAGCTGACCTCAAGTGATCCGCCCACTTTGGCCTCCCAAAGTGTGGGGATCACTAGTGTGAGTCACCATGCCTGGCCCGTCTGTTTTCATTATTACCTGCCTGTTCTCAGTATGCAACATGGCAGTACTATTGACAATGAGGTGCTTTGGCATATCAGATCACTTTTCCATTTGGTCAAGGATCCCTTTTCTCTTTTCATCATTTCTGAACTGCAGAACAGGAAGTACTAAAGCAGTGGCTCAGGACAATGTTGTCACATCAGGAGGGGCAGAGGTGTTTATTAGGATTATGATCCTTTCAGCTGCGTGTCTCAGAAGGATCTCCTGAAGCCCTGGGTTTGATATAGAAACCATAAGAAAAAGACTTGGGGCAGTTCTATATCTGGCTCTTCTCCCACTTCTCTTATAAAAGATTAAGAAAAACTGATGGGATGATTTCAGATGTTTCATTGCCACCAAACTACAGCCTTGAGTTTTTTTTTTCTTTAAGTGATCTTATGATGCCAGTAAAGGCCTCTGTCTTGATTAATGATGATCATCCTACAATATCTGGACATGGTGGCTTGACATGAGTTTTCAACAAAGAAAATTAGTCTCTGAAAGACATTTCTCATCTGAAACTCTCAATATATTAAAATACATTTAAAAGTTACTTCTGGGAAACATACTAAATAGGCCAATCATTTAATCATTAGCTAATTGTCAAACCCTATAAAATCATGGTATAATGTCACCTTGACATAAAGCAAACATCAAAATTAGTGCATCATTTATAAAGTGAAGTATTACTTGCTTCCAAGTGACAAATTCTATTGCCAAAAAATACCACTGTACTTCTAATAAGTGACACTCATTTTAATAGACCCTACAAAAATACAATATTTTCAATGTCCCCATAAAACAGTTAACTTACAAATATTATTCTCAGAGCTTTGGTGACATCAATCAGTGATACTACTGTGAAAATCCTCATACAATACTTGAAACACTAGCATGTAAATTCATTATATAACAAAAGAACTATGTAAAATTATGAAAGAGAATGCATGCAACCAACTCTGGGAAATTATCCTAGAATTTCAAATTAATATTGTAATTAAATTAATGACTAATATGAAAGACAAATATTTAGAAGGATTATAAAATAAATTTTGATCATTTATACAGGAAAATGTTTTCAATGGAAAAGTAAGTAATTCTACATTAACCATGCTTGTCTTTCCCTCCGGTGAGAAAGCATTCAGGATTGTACATACCCTGAAACTGTTTTTGGAAAAAAAAGTATTTTATCTATTTCTGCCTAGAAAATCAGCCATTGAAATTAATGATACAGGTAGACCACAGCTCTGAGAAATTATATTTGAAGTTTCATATTTAAATACCAAGGATTTAAAATCACCCACCATAACTTTCTAACAGCAGTCTTTCGTAATGATAAATTTTATCAATTTCCAAAACTCATTTTAAATAATTTAAAAAGTAGCAAATTAGATTAAGCAACACACAAATAAATTCCACATTTACAAGTAAAGAAATCACAGGGGCTACAGTTTATAATCAACAGGAACTTGAAAGAAATAAAGCAATACCTTTCCTGCCACCCATCATCCACTGCTTAAATTTGTGGTGAAAAAGACTTAACTACAATGACCGTTAGTCTGTTTCTAAACTCTGCATGTATTGTAATTAGCTAAAGGCATTGAACAAATTAGTTCATCCTATTTTTATTCGGGTCCCAGAGATAAATGGCTAATTTATGAAATATTTCACTCTGTGTCATGAGAATTTAGCAAATGAATATGGAACCAAATATAAACACTTTATACCATATGTACAGTTACTTTCATAAGGCATTATCATGTAATTTTTATTGAAAAAGATTCAATATAGTAAAGTCTTATTTTAAGATATATTTTTTCTCTATCCGAGACGTTTAGTTTATGAAAATATTGTTTTTCTCTATATTCTTTTTGTATATATGCCAACATATACCTTGTGCTAGAAATATTTTATGGGAATTACAATTCTTTATATTTGTAGTTTCTATATAAAGGCATATACAACTTTGAGGCAGTGTTTCTGATGGAGAGCAGAATTCATAAAGAGCTTGTGTGTGCTTCCGTGCTCCGAAATTATATGAAATCCACTTTGAGAAGAAACTTATTTGATTAAAAACAAAAACAAAAACAGAAACAAAACTGCACCAATGCACAGCCAGAGGCTGACAATTAAAACTAATACATAACCACATGAACATCATATTTATAGAGTTAACATTTTTAAGGATGGTCAGTGCTAACATATAGTATTATACATTTGGCACTAATGTTTGCCATTGGTCCAGCAATTGGCAAAATTTGTTTCTATGTATAAATTTATTTTTGAACATTAGGTCTGGCTAGACGTATCTTCACTATTTATAAAAAATATTTAGACAGTAAGCTCACGTTGAATAACTAGGTCTACTGTGTTCTGGAAACTCTTCAGTAGTAATACAGCTTTTTCATGTTCCATATGTACAAAACTGTGTCCATTTGCCTGTAAATACACAAATAAAACAGGGCAATCAATGCAAACTATTATCACTGTATCATTGTTTCTATTCATAAAATTCATGGGAGCACTGAGCAACAAAAAGTTATCAGTTTTTATAATTCACAATGGAATCGCAATTATGGAAGTAACTAATTTTATCCAGATTCAACCAAATTTATCAATTCAACAAATATTTATTAAGTACCCAGTATGTCTTTGCCACTGTGCTAATCATCAAGATGCCCTGGTAAATAACAGATAGATGTACTGGTGTCATAGCAGTTCAGTTCCATTGTTGTTGTCCTGATTTGTTTTTGCAGGGGCTGATTGGGGTGGTCTGGAAATGCGCATATGGCCATTACCTTAGTGTTATATAAATGCTAATATAAACTCATCAACAAGACCAAATATTTCAATCATGCCAAACATGACTGGACGCTTATAGTACATTTAAATCTTATTTTGACTCACTGGAAAGTTTCTGGTTTATACACTTTTATATTAGAGAAATATTTTTTATTTCCCTTATTGCTAAATGCAAGTATACTTATTATCTATAGTAGTGGTTCTCAATCAATCCACTATACTTAAGGAATGTGTCCCTTGGGGATAAAACACATTGACATTAGTAACAGAGGACATGTCTGCTGTCTTCTGTTTAAGAATCATTGATATAAGCAATTGATAATCAGTTTAAACATAGCCTAAGGTTACAGTTTCAGAGTTTCCTCCGTCTATTATATGAATTTTATGTCACAAAATGTACATTGTTCTCTGTGTTGAGTGCCATGGGTCTTTGATTTTCTCCACATTAAGTTGCAGATGGTCTTGATTGGAATGATTTTTATTATTAATACAGAAAGAAGTGTATCCCATAAGCCTTCACTGACATAAAGGTAAAATTAAATACAACCTTATTGAAACTTGATAGAAATTAATCTTGGCAACTGAATGACTGACAGTTATGTAATTGTTTTCTTTGCGGTTTGAGACTCAGTTGATTCAGAAAAGAGTCGATCAAGTTGACAGCTTGGCTGAGTAGAGGTAATTGAGCCAGCTCACTGGTTGACTTTTTCAATTTTCAATGGACTGATACTTATTTTGGTTACACATTGCCTTTTTTATTTTACTTACTATTTTTTATGCTTTCTTAAAATATGATTAATATTTCAAATAACCAATCACTTAATAATTAGACTCTTTCATTGACTTTAGCTTTTTCAAATTTAAAGCAGCATTATATCTCTAGAAATATCATACAACCTTTAAAACTTAGATGAAAGTTACATGATACATTATATCTCATCACTAGTTCATTAAAATTGATTGACTAATGATGTGGTAAAGAAGATTCCAAAATATTACGTTTGTAAACCATAGTACATCTGCCAGTAAAAAAATACTAGGTGACAGAATATAAATTCTTGGAAATTCATGTAATTAGAAGTAAAAATTTGCTTTTAATTAAAGAAACCTTAAAGGTATTCCTTAACGATATTTAATAAATGAAAATGCCCATAGAAGTTGGGATTGGTCTCAAAAAAAAAAAAAAAAAAAGAAGTTGGTCTTGGCTGTTTCAGTGTCAGGAAACAGTAGTTGAGTAGAAGTTTGGGCGTGTTACACAGCCCAAATTTCTTGCTCTGCGTTATACTAAAAATCAGACAATGAGGTTACATTTGGTGTCATTTCTGATCAGTTTTGATGGAGAGTAAAGAATAGAGCATATGGTCCATTCTTTTTTCTACTCTTAACCTGTTTCAGACATCAGGAACATAGCGAACTTGCATGAAATAAATATTTATTCCATTGTAGCTTTGAGGGATGTACTGACTACCTTAATGCCTTCAATTTGACCAAAATACTTTAATGCCTTCGATTTGACCAAAAGTTATAACTTAATTGTGAAATTAAAATTGAACTTTAATAATGGAGTTCTTGAACGTCAAACCATAATAATGACTTTCTGAGTGCTCAGATTTCTCTATCTGCAGACACAAACCTAGAATTGCAATGAATTAAAAATACATTAAGAATTTTCAGGGAATTGTTCAAAATTTAAATATCTCACAGTTACAGAAATAAAAAATCTTCTAGGATTTGGAGGCCATGAATGGTACATTGTTCATCATCATACTTGACATAGTATCAATGTTAAAAATATCAGTGTTAAGGGCAAAAGTGGTATAAAACTTAGCAAATTAATCATAGCTGTTAATTTAGAGTGGTACTTTTATTATGAAAGATCTTCAAAGAAGGTTAGTCTGCTCTCAATGTGATTACTTTAGCATTTTTTTCAATCAAAGAATGTCTGTTTTGTACTCACTTCCGTAGGCATTTTGCTAGGCACTGGGATGGGAAGTAAGAAAGAGATGAAACAGGAAGGCTCCAATCGAAGCAGCAGCCATTCAGGAGGGGAAATAAGTCATGCACGTAACTAAAAATAACATAAAATGCCGCATGTAGAATGAACCCTCAGTACATATATGCTGAATTGAATTAATATCTGAAGAGGGAAATAAAGTGCTAGAGTAGCTCAGAGGAGGGCAAAGAAGAGAGGGACATCTTCTCTTTGCTGTTTCTCTGAGGCATAGAACGAGTGTGATACCCAAAGGACTACAGTCCTTGTCTTGTCTCACTCCTAGAGTCTCCTCGAGCCCTCAGTATGTTAACAGTTGTTTTTTTTCGGGTAAATTCTGTAACAGTATGTGCAGAATAAAGCGTTCTAAAATGGTTCATGTGTGGAATCACTTTTCTAAGAAATAAAACACAAAAAAAGCACCAAATCTAAAACCTGTGAATTTAGACCATAGGCTTTAGCATGGGAAGCAACCATAAAAATAAACTTATGTAGAGGGGCTATTTTTTTTTTAAACAAGGCATTAGTTCAAAAAACCTCTTCTTCAAAAGGAAGAGAGATAGCTCAATATGTAAAACATTTAAACAGATCTTTTTAGAGAGAGACAGAGAAAGGGAGAGAGGTGGAAGACAGATTGGACCCAGCGAACCAGCTTACTTGCCAATACCTTCCCACCCCTATAGTGCTCATGAATGCCCAGTGTGAAAACTGTTAGTTTAGACTAATCCTGTCATTTTATAAATGAAAGGCCTTCATTTTAAGGAGACAAAACAAATTGTCTGAGGTCAAACAATGAGGGAAAGGGCTAAGGCTGAATCACCTGATACCGTAATATTCCTTCTTCTTGTTTCTTTCATTACTTCACTGAAATAATAAGACCACAATCATGTCAAGTAATTTGAGCTGACATTTCACTGGCCATGATAAAATAATGAACATTTTTCCCTTAAAAAATTGTTGCTATATCACCTCCAAAGATAATTCTGTTCTTTACAGTGGTTGCCAAGCTGTGATTCCCATTCAAATTTCTATCAGGTTTAATTTAACTTATTCTAAAAATACTGGTAGAAGTAACATTTAGTCCTAAATTAAATATCTACAGAAATGCTGAATCTCCAATTTGTTTTTGAGTGGAAGAAGATAATAATAAATCTCAGTTCCAGAGAAACTTCTTTCATTCTTAGGACAGAAGAGCAAAATGAATTGACATTGTATTTGTTAACATGAGTGTGGTTATCAGGCTTAAATCTTGGATAGTTCAGACAGGGAATCAAACAACTATGTTACTATATTTGTGTAGGGATTCTTCAGTTAAAATAAAGACCGGAAGAATCACAATATTCCAACTAATGGAGTTTTACATTTTTGTGTGTGTGTGTGTGTGTGTGTGTGTGTGCGCGCGCACAGAAGAAGAAGAGGCTGAGGAAATAAAGACTGCTACTATGCAATGTTCATTGCAGGGTATAAACCCAATGATGCTTTGAAAAAATAAATGCATATGATTTACATGTATATTACATGTATTAATATAATTTATTATATTAATAAATATATGCATACTATGAAAAAGATGATATGAAGAACAAATGCTAAATTAATAAAAAATTTAAACTATATTGCCACATTTGGCTACCTATATGTTTTATATAGATACACTATCATAGATTTGAAAAAAATATGTACCATTTTGAGGAAATTATAACCTAATGAAAAATGAGAAATCACTTATTAAGTTGAAATGAAGTTACCAAGAAAACAATCTAAAAAGGGAAAAGATATTCTGAAAATTTAATCCTTAAAAAATATGTAATTAATGGGTTTCTAGCTTTAGCTGATTTGAAAGTATGAAGGAACATTTTACTATAATTGTTATGTAATTTCCAGAAGACATCTCTTGTTATTTTAATTTTATTTGATATCTTCTGTGCCACAAAATGCTTTTTAATTGTCCCTTTTCATGATTTAGACATGAAAAGACTGAAGGTTAATGAAAATAGTATTTGCAATTCCAACAAAAAGTAGAGCTTTGCAAATAGAGCTCATCAATCTATCGTAAAACACACTTGGTTTCTGAATTTCCTCTCTTATTCTCTCCTGGATTTATGTTTGATTACCTGCTGGTAAATGTTTTGTTAAATGGATAAATTATGGATGTTCATATTGCAGAAACAGTCCAGATGATGTTGTAATTCTCCTAGAAATTCTGTTGCATTCTTATTATTCAAGGCTCTAAGCTTAAAAACTAGCCTCAGAGAAGGCCAGACCACAGGGTTGGTGGGATTATCCAACAGGGAGGACAGCACAGATCTTTTTAAACTCCAAAACAAGAAATCAGTTTAGAGATATGGGCATGTGATTTCTGGTTGATTTAAATTCACCCTCCAAGGGATAAGCCTTTTTAAAGGGCCAGTACACACAAATTTTGTATATTAGAGAAATATTAATACATTGATATATTGCACTTTGAATGCCTACAGCTCTTAGAATGAGGGAAAACGAAATAATGCAGCAACCAAATTAGTGCCATAAGAGCAAGGCTTCATGGTGTTCAATTCTGATTGCCAGGTATTATGAGAAAGAGTAGGAATCTCAGATAATCCTCATTGTGCTTCACATTAACTAACTAGAATTAATTCTCATTTCAAAT